AAGTATCTGCACTTAAATTTTCACTTGAATGTTTCATTAAGACTTATTTCTAACATTTTTATGATTTATATCAGAATTTTGACATAAAATAAAAAAACCTGCACAGAAAGGCATTTCTGTGGGATTATTATATATTTTCTACTGTTTTATTATTGACCTTTTAGTCTTTACTAATGTTTTGTCTATTTTTACTATTTTATTTAGCATTTTTTTAAAAGTAAAAAAAAAATACATTATTGTTATTTTTTTGGCAGAACACCTTGAAACTCTGGTTCCTGTGCTTTAAAAAAAAAAACAAACCCAAAAAACAAAGAAATAACTAAAAATGTAGAAATTTCAAACCTGTCAGATATCTAAACACTGTTTAAATGAACGTTTTGGGTTCAGACTTTATAAAAATACTCAAAAAATACAAATGCATCGCTGTGCCAGTGGTTCTGCTTATTCTGCAGTGAAGGTTAATTTTAGTAGCTAACAGATTTTTTACTGTCTTCTCGACGCAAACACACAAGTTAAAAGAAAAATCTATACTCTCAGGATAAACTGTGTGATTTCAGTGAAGTAATTGTGCATTAAAAAAACATCCATTTAACGTTTCAGATGTAAAGTTGTGAACATATTTATGTAAATAAGATTTGAACTCAATGATAAGAAGCCACAAAGTAATTTCACCATTTTGTCAACAAAAATGTGACATTTATTAAATCAACAGACGATGACTTTGAACCTTTTCATGAGCACATACATTCCTCCACTCAGCACCGCCCTTTGTCCCATCAGCAGTCACAGCACACAGCGCTCGTTAGCCTCACACAGCAAATTTTTTTCACGCCCTCAAAACTGAAAGTAGCTTTGGACACGACGCCCGTTCAAACTGAGAAACAAAACAAACATGTGACATAAAGCAGGAGCCAGAGTTAATTATGCACATTCTTATTGTCAATTCAGTTCATTTAAAATGACCCTGAGCAATAATCTGTGTAAACATTTCTACATTCGCTCCGAACTCATAAAATGGAGAAAAGAAAAGGTCCGTGCCGCCTCTTCCGCGTGACGTGTTCTCCATCCTCGCTCAATATATACAAAGAGGAAATTCAGTTTATAGGCATGCTGGTGTTCTCGTTTACATACTGTACGTTGCTGTGCATATACATGGAATAAACATGACACCAACTGTTCTCTGAATCTGTAGAGATTCATAACACTGCTTTATTTTTTAAACTTTACTCTACTATGCAGTATGATAGACTGTAATAGAAATATACTTCATATATAGTTATATACTGTATTCAAGGAGTGCATTCAGATTCTCCAGCAGTAGATATGTGGGGCTGTTCTGCATATACTGAGGACGACCGACGTGCTAAGGGAAGGACAGGGAGCAGCAGAGGTCGTTCTGAGCTAGACTCTGGATCAGTCTGCACCACTCGGCCCTCTTCTGGGTGATGTAGGCCGGGGTGATGATTTGCACAGGAAGGCGCGGCGAGCCCTCCACCCTGGCCTTCTCACACAAGGCCTCGGCGATGCAGATGACATACATGCCACAGTCATAGCTGTTCTGCTGCGATGGGCAGGGCTCCTCCACGAACAGCGATTTCCTCCCCGCGCCCAAGAAAGGCTCCAGCTTGCTGGCGATGCGCCGCGCGTGCAGGGAGTTGCTGCCGTTCTGAGAGTCATAGTGGGCGAAGTGGTTGGAGGTGTGGTGGTACAGCAGCAGGCTCCAGTGGGAACCTCCGGCCGTCTGGTTGGAGTTGTCGTTGACGGCCAGAAAGACCCAGCGGCGGGAGGCGAGATCCAGCGGCTCCAGGAACAGAGCTAACTCATCGGGGCAGGAAGCACACTTGATGAACTGGGTGACCTCTGGGCTGATGAAGATGATGGCCTCCCCCAGGACTCTGAAGCGCTCAGCAGCAAAGTACTCGAAGGCGAAGCCGATGACTTGGTCGTTGAGCCAGTAAGGTCCTTCCAGTAAGGACACATCGGAGCGCCGCAGCAGGCTGTCCTGGTAGCTCAGCACTACAGGATCCATCCTCCAGCACAATCACAGAGTGTCAGGCTGAAAAACACACAAGTGATGAGTCAGACATTTAATCAACAACTGTTTTTCTAATGCTTTTGTTTTTTGTAATTTATCAAATATCATCTTAGTTTAATTTCTCTGGATTTTGACAGTTGGTTTGTAACAAATAGAGCTGCAACAATTAAGCAATTAGCTGTAAACTATTAACTTAACGGTCAACTATTTTAATTATCAATTTGTCATTTTAAATTTTGTTTAAATTCCACTTATCTATCACATTTTGTAGACCAAACAGGTAACTGAGTGACGAGGAAAGTTATTTGCAGATTAATANCATATCAAACAAGAACTTGGGTCTTAAGAGGTTAAAAATATCATTTTTTTCCCTACAGTGTAATGGAGACTAACACGTTGTCAGGGGTTTAGTTTTGGCAGAAGTGAACCTTTTTATTTCACAACAGCTTTTATTTTACACCTTCCAGTAATTAACAAGCACTAAACACTATGCAAAGGTGTTCCCACCATATGGGACCTTGAATATCTTTTAAATAGTCCAGCAGGGGATGCAATCAGTCTTTAGATTTTACTTAAAGGGGAAAACAGAGGATATTGTCTGTAAAAAAATGAAAATGAATCCAATGAATAACTAAAAGAGAAGAACCAGGGGATGTGAATGAAGGGCTCCGGCTTCATAAACCAGCAGCTTTCCAGAGAGTTCGGTGCAAATCAGTTTCGGGACAAATGAACTGATTTTATAATCAATAACTAACCTTTAACCAAAGCAAAGACTTTAAATTTGATCTAAATCAGCATCTGTGCAGCAGAATTTTGAGTGATTGCAGCTGATTCATGGTGTTAACTCGGTGGGAAGCAGAGGAGACATGCAGACTGAAACCTGCAGCCAGCAGGTGAAGAATGACCTATTTTCTAATGAGGACAGAGATTATCAATAAACCCATTGTGGATTTACAGCAGAGTAAAACCACAAACACTAAGAAGCTTTGTTTTTTGCCACAGAAAGCTGTGCACAATTTGCCCAAAAGAGCATGGTACCAGACTTTGCAGGATTTAGAATTGATCCATCTCAGTTTAGGACATAATAAGGTCCTATTGCTTCAGATTATGACACAAACCCTCGGTGTGCTGCTGCTGCTGCTGCTGCTGCTGCTGCTGCAGGTTGACGGATGACAACACAGAAAGCTGAGCTGTGTTTCCCTAAAAGGCAGTCTACTTGGTAAATTGTCCATTTAGAAACAAATCTGTCCAAATGAATGCGCCTTTCCTTGGGCACTTTGTCTCACTAATGCAGTGAGCTGCCAGGGTGGGGAATGCCCCGGCTTTGTGGCATTTTATGAGGACAATAGTAAACCCTGAAGGCTCGTCTGACTGGTTCCTCTGGGTGAAATATGCCCGTGGGATGTAGACGAGTGCAGGATGCCAGCGGAAGAAGCAGAGCGGCGAGTGGAAACAGTCCAAGCAGTGTGAATTTAAGAGGAGCGCAGGGCAGCGAGCCAGACCAGGAGGTGATGGCCTTTCATTCAGCCACACAGTCGCTGATGAGTTTTCTTAGTGATACTTGACGATCTGAATCGATCCAATGAAGACAGTTTCACTTAATCTAAGTTTGAAAAGACACACATTAAAATCAGTTCAGATTTTAGAATTACAACTGGCTGCTTTCAGAAAACCCAGAAAGGAAACTTATGAGATGAAACTTTTAGCTGATTGATTATTGAGTCATTGATCGGATCATTTAATCACCTTCTGTTTTGCTGATGAATAAATACAACAAATAACATACTTTTTAAAAAAATCTGTCAAAAGACCAACATTATGCTCAACTTTAGACACATAATTACCCCTAAACTGTGAAAGTGAACAAAATCTTTTTGGGTTTTGGACTGTTGGTGTGTAGAAAATAGAGCTGCAATGCTTAATGGATTCATTTCTGACTATTAAATTAATCAAAAACTATTCTGATAATTGATAATTAAAGTACTTTTTGTCAAGCAAAAGAAATCTACAGTTTCTGATTTGTTAAATAGGAAGATTTTCTTGTCCTCTGCTCCTCTTTCACCGTTAACTGACCGTCTTCTGCTTGATCAACAATAGAAACGACTGATATTTGCAGCCTGAGTGCAAAACAAGTCATTAGATTATTATTTCAGTACCTTTGGACATTTGTTGTCTTCCAATCATGCTTCATAAAAAGGCAGTTAGGTAACACAAGACAGCACAGAGCTCTTTTAATGCATTCACATTCCCTCTTAGGTTAGAGTTTTGTACAACATTTTCATCCATCCCACTACATCTCTGGTACTTGTTGAAGCCCTAAATCCTGCTCTGAGTCATGCACTCAAACTTTCCCATAAATATGTTGTTGAAGGCCACAGCCGGACCGTAAATAAAGAATAGTTTGTCCTTCCTGTGTCCTTTCTTAATTTAAAGCACAATGCTGGAGGACGGTTTGTGCTGCTACCCTCCCAGTCTGCACCGGAAGGAATATTGTTGGAGATTTCTAAAAATGAAAGCTGATGCCTTTTATAAACTCTCACAAAGTTATTTAAAACTTCAACTGAATAAGTC